TTGAGTGAAGGTAGAAGATACGAAAAACAGACTATATAAAAAAACAGACTATAGCTAAACAATAGATCAGGATTATCTACAAAACATCAGTCTACTTTGCACCACTATCTTCGACAAAACTTTGGAATTTGGGGTCCTTCGCCAGAAAAATATGCGAAAACTACGGGAAAAGCAGCGCAAATCACTACAATTAATCCAAAAAACATAACATATACAACAAAACAGTATATTGAAGCACACTTTGTGGTCTAACGAAGGTATTATGTCATTTGAACCACCCGAAAGAGGCGTATATGTATTATGTACGTCAGATGGCTACAACGCGCCAACAGCAGAGACGGCCAGGCACCCGTCGAAAATCAAATTGTGAGACATTTGGAGCCACCGTGCACTCATTGGGCTTGATATGATGGCCCAAAGACAACCGTTAGCACAGAGTACTACACCTTTTTGCGTTGTTCGATGGCCAATCAGCAAAACCCATTCGTCCGATCAGCACATAGGTGGCGCCAGTGAGAGGCATTCCGGCAAAACCCTCAGCATATGGGCAAAACGGAATGCTGATCCCACTCCACAGTTCGTCAGTTGGTATTACCTTCGCTATTCGCCATAACTGATTGAGTTCCGGCAAAACCTTTGACGATTAGGATAAATGCTTCGTCTTTCGTTAATATCCCTTCGTCGTTCACCAAAACATCCCCATGCTAATTTCGGCATTCCTCATAACATTTCGTCAAAACTAAAAACAGATCGCCCCTTTACAGAGAAGTATAAATATGACCGGGTTTATACAGTGCAGTGCAAGGCATAGGTGGCGAAACTCGTAGACCATTGATCTACATAAAAATCGGTAGCGTTCATGAGCGCCATAGGTACAATGTAGATGGACGTAGCTGACATGTTATCGGCTGATTGAAAAATGGACAGGCAACAGAGCAACAGGCTGGATAAGTTAGCCCCGCCTCAAACACCAAGGAACAGGCAACAGGCTGGATAAGTCAGCCCCGCCCCAAAAACCATGAAGGTGTCCGGCCGACAGGGCCCGGCTTGCCATCTGTCAGCCATTCCCTCGCGAGTCCGACCGGCGCGGCCGCCCGAGGCGTTGTCCCATGACATCGCACGGGCAGTGACGCGATAATGACGGCCGACTTCGTGGTTTGTATCGAGGCGTTTAGGAGTCCGACGCTCAAGAATCTACATGCCTACTCGGTATGGCGCCGGTAGTCTCCTCGTAGCTATGGTATAACTGCCTTTTTCGGAATTCAATGGTTAATTGGTTGCAAATTGCGCTGGAACTGTCATAAGCCTCATCCCTGAATGCGTGATTAACTTTAAACATTGAATATGGCTAGATAAGCACTACATCATTGACATTTTGATCATTGACGAAAGTTTTAAATAAACAGTCATTGTTTACGCACAGTACCGATGAATTTTGCACGTCGACTAACCATTTTGTGAAATGTCGAAGCATTATGACAATCTGACAAAGTGTTTTGCCTGTGACGAACATTGTGCTCAATGAAAAAGAGTTATGCAGAATGGTTAAATGGAGTCCAGCCTGTTTTGCCGACCGTCTAACAGTGATGCACATCGCCGATGGGTTATTCTGAATGACGCTTGTCCAAACTGATGCCGAAATGGTTATGACGATTGGCCATCGAACAACGCAAAAAGGTGTACTGCGGTAATATTCTACCAGTACAAAAACTGGATGCCGTGAACCAAATGGCCATGAACGGGTTTGTTTTTGAAACCAAATCTGTTGGAAGCCAAAGGTCGCGCCATGTTCAGACATGGAGCTTCTCCACTCCAGATGTAAAAAAAAAAAAAACGCAGCAAAAGTGGTGTAGGCAGAAACTTTTGTTTTGGGGATAATACCTTATGGCCTGGGAACACTTTTATGTCAAGTTTATCTTATATGATCGTATTATCCTCCGGCAAGAGCCAAGAGGTCAAAGAAAACAGGCCTACACTCAGTTTCGGGAGACCCGTAAAACAACTGAGGCCAGCAATGGCTGGCGTTTTCCATCATTGTCGGCTGATCTTGTAACAAGCGTATCTATTGCATGTGCTAATTCACAGCCACCCTAGTTGACTATATAGGACGGTAAAAAGAAAAAAGCGCAATCATGTTTGCCTTATTTTATAGGCTAATTAACAATGTTCGAGTAATTCTGGGACACCCTGTACGTTACCTACACTGCCACCAAAATGAGTTGTAGGTACACTGCTGCTAACCTGGTTGTCAGCATGACAAATTGCGTCTGTGTGTAAATCCCTATTTATGGGAAATATACTGAATGTTAAAAGGAATCGCTACCTTTTATATAGAAACTCGCAGATAATATTTTTTAATAGAACAAAGCTTATATGCCGGACCCGGCCAGAATAGACCTGCAACTACATAAAATGAGATGTACATTGCTGCAACTAAAATGAACTGTTCACTGCCTTTTCGCCACTTTCTAAACGTGCCCTCTTCCTTGCAAAAGCTTCTCTGGCATTGAATGCGCTGGAGACAGCAATATTTTGGGACCGAGCAAAGATTTACTTATGATGTCACAGATCAGTGACCTCACCCTACCTGAAAATGAAATTGTTGCCAAAAGGTCCTGTCTGAGTCAAATGTCAGTTAGGCCACCTTACAGCTATCTAACGCGTTCCGTTCAAAGGCGAAAGAACTGTGAAATGCATGACACCAGAATGAGCTTAACCCTCGCCCGTATCGGTATTTTTCCAGCTGCGAACGTATAAGGGGGGGGTCAACAGACCCCCCCTTGCCGTTTCGCCCCTGATCGAGCTAGAGCTTCGCAGAAAAAAAAACGAGCGTGTTGCCCGTGACGAGAGGAAGCTGAAGATACCCAATTTTAAGGTCCTAGGTCATTGGTTGACCTTCCAGGTCAGGTCAATGACCCAAAAGTCGGGAAAATCGGGACCTGTTAGTGTGGCTGCTATGTTTTTTTTTTTCGGGGTGCTGATCATGAATATTATGTTAGTTTTGATCACAGATGATGTCTTTATGCATTTAGGCCAGGTCGAGTCAGGTCAGTTCAACCAGTAGGGGTCCTGCCGGGTATTCGTAGTAGGTGTCAATCGCCTCTGACAGCTTCGTAACATGTTACGAAGGCACCAAAACTACTTCGTAAACGTTCATATGGTTGTTAACTTCGAATTCAGCTCCAAAAACTGGTTTAGAAACATGTAAAACTCGAAAAAGTGAACAGAGGTCATCAAAGGTCAATGACCTGACTTAACCTTCAGGTGACCTTGACAACCACCCTAATGCATGGGACCAACATCATTTCAGATGTTTGAACGCTTGAAACCACGAAAAGACTGCAAACGCGCCGCTAATGCGAGCCGACATAAGCCGATTCGCGATTCCGGCCAAACATGGTCTCAAAAAGTAGGTCACAGGTCAAAGGTAATTTGGGTTAGGGTCATGAAATTTTCATCAAGGGTAGGTGTAAAATTGATCAATTCGAGGGTACTGAAAGTTTCGTCGCGATCGGCCGCTTTTTACGCGAGTTATTCGCGAAAAAAACGAGGGGGGGGGGGGTCCGTTCGACCCCCCCCCCTGATTGCCCCCTGAGACTGATTTCCCAAAACGTGTTCTTAGACTACCAAGACAATATTCGTTGCATACAATGTCATTCAAAGGTCAAGGTCAAGGTCAGGTCAGGTCAGGTCACCAAAAACAAAGTATAGAAAAGAGCATGTGCGACACATGTTTTATGGGTCATTTTACTCATAGAATTCAATAGGCACACTCAATAAGTGATATGGACCACCTCTGGATGAATTTCAAGTCGAGTTCAGGTCAACGTCAGGTCAAGTGAGGTCAAATTTTGAAGTTGGTTGTTAAGGCCTAAAAAGGTGTCTATCTGATGCAGTTTTTTTCACGGCGAATCGAATGGTGCTATTTTTGTTTCCGTACGAGGTCTAGAACTTCCAAAAAATCGTTTTTCAAAATTTTGTGTCGTGACGTCATAAAATTTTGAATAACTCCCAAATTTTTGAACCGATTCTTCTAAAAATTGGTATGTAGGTGCACATAGACCACTTCTCTGACATATATTCAGGTTTTTTCGATACACTTAAAATGTTGGATTTTATAATTATTTTCCCAAAAAAGTCAGTTTTTTTAGAAAAAAATTGGGCCAAAATCCACAATTTTCAAAAAATCGAGATAGCCACTTGAAAGACAAAGTAGAATCACGTATAACCTATTTTGTTACGTCTTGATTCCTTTAAAAATGAAGATGTTAGCGGCGTTTGAAATTTTGCCGTTTTTGAGGCGAAAATGGCGAACATGACGTCACTAAAACGTCAATTTCTCAACAATTTTCCGACAGATTTCGCTCAAATTTTCAGGGAACGTGTCAACTTGATGTATGATAAGGTACCGAAAGTTTGACGTCGCTGGCGTAACGCGTTTAGAAGTTATTGGCGAAAAACGGGAGGGGGCAGATTCTGCCCCCCCCCCCCAGTGGGGCGCGGGTAGGCGGAGATACTTCAAAGGAACTAGAAGAGTATGTCATGAAAAGGCACATCTTCGGTAGCGTATCGTCTCCGGCATGTGCTAACTTTGCACTACAAAAGTGTGCACAAGACAATTATAATTTCAGTCCAGAGGCAGCAGACACTATACAATATTCATTTTAAGAAGTATGCGCATCTGGCTGACCTTATCCTCACTTCTGTATGGAAATATGAAATTGCCAAAATAAATTACTGTATTAAAAATCGAGATATTTCGAGCACAGCTCTTCGTCGGTCGATTGTAATTATTTACACACATAACAGGCACACAATGTCGAATTCGTCTCAAGTTCTTCAGTAATGTCGCAGTAAGAAATTTAAATACACAGATCCCGTGCAAATTGATCACCCTAGTTCCTACCTTAAAAATATATCTAAACATAATTCCCCAGTTAAACTAGCAGTACATATATAGGTATCTTTCAAGAACCAATTCACACACATTTTTATATACATTATTTTGGAAGAAGCTGCCATGATGTAGTGTTATCGTTAATTTTGGGCCTGGCGTCTCGGATGAAGATGGATTCAGCGATTCTTCTATCCGCTTCGTCTTTGCATACACGCAGGATTTTGGCCGTCACCGAGATGTCGCGTCGATCCATCTCAGGGTGCTTATGCAGCGCATGCTCTCCTAGGGGAGTGTCCTCTTCTCTGTTAATGCCGTTCCTCCGATGCTCGTTGTAGCGGAGTCTAACTGGCCTGCTCGTTTCTCCGATGTAGGTGTCGCCGCAGTGACTGCAGGTAAGTTCATATACCACGTTTTTGGTCGTGCACTTGGACTGTAGCCCCGCCTGGCATGAATGACAGCACCTTCGTCCCGAGGGGCAGGGGGCTGGGTTCAGTCGTGTCTTGACCAGTCGTTTCTTCAGGGTGTTGTTGGTGGTCCATGCTATCTCCACTGGTAATCCAGAGTTGATTGCAACCTTCTTCACCTGAGCAGCCACCTTGTCATTAACGAAGGGCAGTCGGATATATGTGCCTTGCTTCTTCTTGTTCTGTTGTCGCTGATCTGGCCGTTCCCGTCGTTCTCTTCCTCTGTCTCTGCTTCTCTCTTCATGTTTCTTCATTTCCCTCCAACTGTACTCCTTGATCATCTTCATCGGATATCCATTACTGACAAACAGATGACGTATCTTCTCGAGCCCTCTTTTTCTTGCCGCTGTGTCTGAGCCAAGACGGATCGCCCTAGTGATCTGTGATGTGAGCACAGCCTTCTTTGTAGACCTGGCATGTGCCGAGTCATACGGCAGAATGATCGGTGCCGCCATGGGCTTGAAATACAGCTCCGTGCTGTACGAGCCGTCCTGTCGCACGCTTATCAGTGTGTCCAGGTATGGCAGCGTCCCGTCCTGGTCTGATCGCTCAATCGTGAATTGAATGGCCGGATGTCTCGAGTTGAGGAAGGCCAGATATTCAGTTAGCGCCTCGCTGCCGTGCGTCCAGAGACACCATATGTCATCGATGTACCTAACATACATGTCTGGCTGAGGTCTGTCCACCTGCAGTGCCTCTGCTTCCAGCTTCCCCATGAACACTATGGCCAGAGATGGCGCAATCCTGGATCCCATGGCTATCCCATCAGATTGTTTGTAGAAGTTTTCATTGAATCGAAAGAAGTTGTTTTGTAGGCAGTGGGTGAGCAGGACTTCAACATCTTCTGGAACCAGCCCAAACAGATTCAGCTCGTTGATGTGTTCACGTATGAGCTCCATGACAGCTTCAATCGCTTCTTGGGTTGGCACGTTCCCGTAGAGATTTTTAACGTCAACGCTGAAAGCGATGCTGCCAGCAGGGAATCCTGTGGGATATTTTTCTTTTACTCTATCCAGAAATTCACCGGTGTCCTTCAAGTGTGCAGGTATGTACCTCAGCAGCTGTGACGTAACTTGTTCTAACAACCAGCTTAGCCTATCCACTGGATTGTCAATCCCAGAGACTATAGGTCTCAATGGCTCACCTTCCTTGTGTGTCTTCGGTAAGCCATAGAGTTCAGCGCAGCGCGAGTGGTGAGGGCGGATGGCAGCTACAATGTGTGAATTCGACATTGTGTGCCTGTTATGTGTGTAAATAATTACAATCGACCGACGAAGAGCTGTGCTCGAAATATCTCGATTTTTAATACAGTAATTTATTTTGGCAATTTCATATTTCCATACAGAAGTGAGGATAAGGTCAGCCAGATGCGCATACTTCTCATGATGATATTCCTCAGAACGCTTAACCACTTACGATTCTGTAATATTCATTTTACATTGATGACTGCCTGAAGTCGGTAGCAAGCATAGAGGAGGCAGTGAAGCTGATTGATGAACTAAAACAAACGTGCGCAAAAGGTGGATTTACTCTTACCAAATTCGTGAGCAATAAGGCAGAGGTCACAAAATCGTTACCAGATCAAGACAAAACAGAAAGTATGAAGAGTGCAGAGCTCGGATGTGACACATTGGCAGAGCGTGCACTTGGCGTTACATGGAATTTCCTGGACGATGAATTCAAGTTTAAAATTAAAAAACAGTCAAAGCCACCTACAAGACGCGGCATTTTGTCGGCAACAAACTCCTTTTTTGATCCCCTGGGACTCGCTGCTCCAGTTCTAATGGTTCCTAAATTGATCCTGCAAGAGCTATGTCAGCTAAGTCTTGGCTGGGATGACGCAATTCCGTTACCTCTTCAACAAAAGTGGCTTCAGTGGCACTCCTCTCTCCATGATCTTGAACGATTCAGTATAGAACGGTGCTTGAAGCCCGCAAATTTTGGCCATTTAGTATCTACACAATTACATCACTTCGCCGATGCGAGTCAATCTGGATATGGTGCGGTATCATACCTCCGACAAGTGGATGAAGATGGCAGAGTTCACTGCGCCTTTCTTATTGGAAAGGCGCGAGTGGCGCCCCTTAAAAGCGTCACCATACCCCGCATGGAACTCACCGCTGCGACGTTGGCAGTTCGTCTCGATTTGACTGTGAAGGAGGAGCTCAAGACAAACATAGATTCGACAACATTTTGGACGGATAGTTCAACTGTTATTCGGTATGTCAGAAACAAAACAAGCCGATATCACACTTATGTGGCAAATCGAGTTGGTTTCATTCTGGAAAATAGTGAAGATAAACAGTGGAAATATGTGAATTCTAAATCGAACCCCGCTGATGAAGCCTCGAGGGGCACAACGGTGGACAAATTCCTAAACGACTCTTTATGGCTTTGTGGACCTGAGTTCCTGTTGCTGCCCGAACGGAAGTGGCCGGAACAACCATTTGAAGAAATCGAACCATTGATGAACGATGACCCTGAAGTGAAAAGATCAAAGCATGTTGCAACGACTTCAACTGAAATACACCCAACTGACAAGCTATTACAGCATTATTCCAGCTGGTATCGTCTCAAAAGAGCAGTGGCTTATTATAGCCGATTACAACAAATCCTCTTCTGTCGAATTAAGCAAAGGGAGAAATCTGAGAGCAAGAACACTACTAACCCAGGATACGGACAAGGAAACTTGACCCTCAACGAAATTGGTGCCGCTGAGACGCAAATTGTGAAGTACATTCAAGCAGCTTTTTTCAGGGACGAATTAGCCGTTTTGAATTCACCAGAAGAGTTCAAAACGAGAAGCAAGAAGAAGAGTTCTAAGCACATCAAGAAGAAGAGTTCAATCTATCGATTAGATCCCACGTGCAAGGATGGTGTATTGAGAGTCGGAGGAAGACTGAGCCATGCTTACGCATCTGACACAACGCATCCGGCGATTCTGCCATCAAGGTCTCATGTTACCGATTTGATCATAACGGATACACACCAGAAAACGGGACATAGCGGGCGACTCCATGTCCTGTCTACATTACGAGAAAGGTTTTGGATTATTCATGGCAACTCGGCAGTGCGTCGCGTGCTCTCGCGATGCGTGTTTTGTCAGAGACTGCATAGTCGGCCTCTTGTTCAGAAGATGGCAGATCTCCCACCAGATCGCGTCACTCCAGATCTGACGCCATTTGCGGTTACTGGAATCGACCTTTTCGGTCCCTTCCTTGTGAAAAGAGGAAGGGCCACAGAAAAACGGTATGGCGTAATATTTGTTTGTCAAAAAATCCGCGCCGTCCATTTGGAAGTCGTGCATTCCCTCACCACTCATTCATTCATAAACGCGCTGCGTCGCTTTATGGCAAGACGAGGAGCGGTTAAGGTAATCAGATGTGACAACGGCACAAATTTCGTGGGAGCTCGACGAGAGCTCAGCGAGGAAATTCGTAAATGGAATCAGCAGCAAATTGAAAATGAACTTCTACAAAAGGAAGTACAGTGGCTATTCAACGCTCCAGGTGCCTCTCATCACGGAGGAACATGGGAACGTTTGATTCGCGAAACTAGAAAATTGTTGAATTTCCTTCTGCACCAGAAAGTCCTAGATGATGAAAGTTTATACACCTTTATGTGTGAAGTGGAAAACATTTTAAATGGACGCCCAATCACACCTGTGTCAGATGATCCCAAGGACCTCGAAGCACTAACCCCTAACCACCTTCTTATCTACCGCTCAGCACAGCCATTAGCACCCGGCATATTCTCAGAAGCAGATACGTACTCGCGTAAACGATGGAAGCTCGTTCAGCATCTTGCGACACAGTTCTGGTACCGTTGGAAAAAGGAATATATCAGGACTCTTCAATCAAGACAAAAGTGGAACCAGCCTGAGAGAAACCTACGTGAGAATGACCTTGTTCTTCTGGTGGACTCAGACTCTCCACGAAATGTTTGGAAGATAGGGAGGATAGCAAATGTGTATCCTGACACCAAGGGTCACGTTCGTGTGGCTGAAGTGAAGACAAGCGCAGGAATTCTCAAAAGACCAATCAGCAAGCTCGTTCTCATGCTACCTGAATGAGATCCCAATTCCCAGCACGTGCCGAAACGGGGGAGGGGGTGAAGAGGCGGTACCTTAGGTGTTTCAGCACGCACACATTTAAATTTGAACAATCTAGGTCGCGTGAACTCTATGCATATTTTCAGTTCGTTTTTTGTTTTATATATAGAAATGACACTGTTTTTAGACAGGCATTAATTTATAAATTTACGTGTTTATTTTGCCGAACAGCAGTAAAAGAGCGTTGCATTATGTTTCATACTTTGGTTCATGCTTGATTGGACTGAACTCTCATAATGCTAAATATAAATTGGTGTTTTGTAAAAAACAGATTTGATCAGTGACATTCCGGACTCTACAGGGCCGGTTCAGTTCCAATAGATCCTACCTTGATTTTGATCATTCTGAATATTCTGAGCTGGTTCGATGTTTAAATACCAAAATAAGGTGAAGAGGATACCAAATGCCCTCAAACAGATAATTTTTTTGGCTTTCGTCCCGAAACAACTTTGCCAGCTTCCACTTGTCTCCAGTATGTGGTCCCGCTCCGACCTCTCCGCGGTGCTGACACCGACTGAAGCGGCATAGACCCATCCCGGTCACGGCCAGTGGGCGGAGTTTAGTTGGGCCCGGCGCAACGTGATTGGCCAGCGCTCCTATCCAATCCGGTGCGGTAGCGAGTGAGCCTCTATCCGGGTGCAAAAACTGATTAACATTACGAGCCAACGACAAGTGCTCTAAATTTTGATATTTTGTTAAGAGACCATATTGACAAAAACTGGCGCTTGAGCTGAAATATCGTTTGCCAAAATTTCAAGCTAATTGGACAAAAATTGAAGAAATTATCGCCGAAAAGTAGGGTCTCATGGGGTCTGAAATGCATAGTAGGTGTTCGTAATAGCAATTACTCTGCTTATGTACTTATCCCCGGTTATTTAAAAGAAGTTTTTGTGAGGGTATATCACGGCTATAGGTAGGTACTCAGTGTAGAGTGCAGCGTAAGGTCCGTTATCTTGCAAGGACGCTGCTGGCAGCGGCCATCACCAGGCACTAGTTCCATGACATGATATCTGCACCCGTCTCAAGTTAACAATATGTCAACAGTCTAAACAAAAGTCTGTATGTGGGTGTGGGTGTTTGTGGGAGAGGGGCAAAGCTACAATCATACAGCAGTCACCCAACGGCGCGGTGGTGTAAAGCTTGCGCCCCTCCCTCAGCCGTGTCTGCAACTCCGGGACTATAGGGGAGGTCGGCTAGCGAATTGGCAAAGGTCATGCATACCGGCATAGCTTCAGTGCTGTTTTCATCTCGTTAAAGATATAAATAGGCCATTAACAACTTATTTATCTACTTCATGCCATATTTCCGTTACAATACGACACACGAATTATATCGTCACATCCGTAACGGCTTTTAATGCCCCTCCCACCCAGATTGTGTCAATATTCATTGTTTACGTCCTGGGGTTCAGTCATTTCTTTTGCTGAATAAGACGACTCATTGAAAACTAAATGGTCCTAATGAGAAAGCTTCGATCACTGATTTGAGCCCTCTGACTACATAGCCAGTCGTTCTAAGAGTTACGGTCTTGTATATATGTAGGTACTAATGACGGTCTAAGCCACAGTGAGTGTAAATGAGCATATGCTGTTCATTGACCAAAATGATATTTTTGGTGCTCTCTTTTACCGCTGCACGTCGAATACCACTGCAACACATTCAGGCTTTGCGCATTTATATCCATTCATATGAAGTCATTTTTCCAAGTAAAATTAAAACTTCCAATGCAAGCTCGCGATCCCTAAAAGTGGTCTGATATCGTTATTTCTGTCACTGCTAGATCCAGAA